AGTTGACCGAAGAAGAAGATTCCCTTTCTTTCGTCGACCCGAGCAAAAACCTGTCCTAGTTTCCTTGTCTTCTGGATTGGTTCAAAATTACAAGGCTACGGCGTTGAATATTAGTAGTCGTAAACCCAAAGATTGGGTCAACTGTTCAACGGCTTCCATAAAATGAAATAAAAATGACCCCACATCCCTACTTGAAATATTTATATCTCGTTACCATAGTCACCACCACGCGTCCAGACCAATGGTTAGGGGAGTTCTTATTTTAGACAAACTATACATGAACTGGTGTCCCATCTGCCTCAAAGGGTTAAATGATATTTGGTAATTACATTTGAAACAAATAATTCATTGAATTTGCCTATATACGCCATTATCATTTCAAATGATTGGAATCACAACAGATTTGATTTCTTTATTCTTATGACAATTCGCATGTAATAAAAATGTATTAAAACCAATGAAAAGGTTAGAAAATGAAGAAAAAAAAACATTGTTGACCGATCTTAGTCGATGAAACGCATCTCTCTTCTGCGTTAATTTTTTTTCCCGCAAGCATTAAGTTTTTTTAAATCTCAATTTGAATCCGATTAGTAATGTAGTTGCAATTCGTTGCATAAAGGCTTTAAAAAAACACTTTCTTCATATTGCATGATTTTATAGATTTTACTGTTCTATGTGAGTAACGGACAAAGAATTAATTATCTGGTAAATGGGCGAAGACCGCACCGCAAAAAGAGTTTTCAATGCCAGACCAATTGGCACATGAAAAAGAGGCAGGCCGAATTCGAGATGGATAGATGGCTTAGAGAAAGACCTTTTGGTCTTAGAAACTAAAAATTGGAAAACACTAGCAGAAAAAAGGTTAGCCTGGAAAAAACTTCTTGAGAAGGCCAAGGCCCACACTTGGCTGTCGAGCCATTGATGATGATGAAAGTTAATTGTTTTGTTTTAGCTAAAGAAATCTTAAATATGTAAATTTTGTGGTTTCATCCGTCTTTCCATTATTACTTGATAGTTTGGATTTAATATCATGGTTTTCATTTTTCCGTTTTTCATTTTTTTGGCTTGTTTAGTTTCTATATCATGGCTTTAATTTTTCTGTTTTTCATTCTCCTTTTAGGTAGTTAGGTCCTTACATCACGGCTTCCTTTTCTGCTAAAAGGAAGCGTTTTAAGTAAGGCGTGCGCGGTAAAAACCTGAGTATTATAGTTCAAATAATATCAAGAAACGCCTTTCAAAGCTTGTAATAAATATAAATCATTGAAATTAACTCTGGTAACTCAAATAAATCAGCTAAAAATTCAGAATTGAATGCTGTTTTGTACAAATAGTTTATTATTATAAAAAAAAATAAGAAGAGGAATAAAGAAATAATAATAATGGCGTTATCTAAAGTAGTGGTGCAGATGAATTATAAAATTTTTAAATAAAATATCTTTATGTCTATTAAAGAAAAGACATTAATTCATTATGGAATTAATTACATATGCATTAATTCATATTCTTATGGAATTCATGGAATGGTCTTATTAGAATAAAATTTCTGTTGTATATAAAACTATTATTAAAAATATTTACAATTTTCTGATTTTATTTAAGAAAGTAAAATAAAAAATTATGTTGTTTGATTATTAATAATCCAAATATTTTGATTATTTAAAATAGGTCTGATTGATTTAAAATTCTGTATGTAGGGAATACTTGTATAAAAAATTCATAATTTTCATATTTAAAACTTTTATGGTTCAATTTAAACAGTATATTGCAAATGTTTATATGTTTCTTCAAACTTGGAAGCTGGTTTGCAAACAATTAAAAGTTTGCATTTCGTCAAAAACTACGCGATTTGTTGGGGGAAAAAAATGAAATGCAGCTTAAAAATCGCTAAATTGTCAAAAAAAAAAATGAGAGTTTTATTTCTGAAAGTGCACGCCTATGCATAATTAAACTCAATTTACTTAGAAATATACTCTCCAGATATAACGTTTTCAGAATATGCTATACAATGTCAGAATTTTCCTTCTAAAATTACGGTAAAATAATCGGTGCCAGTTTGTCCATTCAATTAACCGTAAAGTTTACGCTGAAGAAATTTTCTTTACCTTTACAGTTTCAAAACCGTTTGTAATTATTATGGTTGAAAAAGCAGGAATACAAAACTATAATGTTATTTTTAACCATATACAATTAGTATAGTTTCAAAACCGTTATAACAAAACTTAAACGGACATTGGAGCTCTGTGGGTTCTGCGCCATTTATACGTTAATGATAGTTTCGTGTCTAATCGTGTATCGTATTCGTGTTTATGGCTTTATTGGAACACAAAAAAGCACGGTAAATCTTTCTGAAGCACTTTGGTAACGATTTTGATAAAATTAACAATAAAATATTGTTTTACAGTATATGTAAAAATGTAGTAAATTTTGGTAATTTTATCTTAGTTTAGTAATTTCATCTAAAACCTAGAGTATGCTATTAAAAAAAAATTGCTTTTAAGTTTTGTATTTTTTACTAATGTGTGGCAACAATAATTTTGAAAACCAAAATTTCCGACCATACAAGCGAAGAAATTATCAAAAGAATGGTTTAATTAACATACATTTTAGTTTTTAACTAGAATTATGTTTTTCTTTTTACTAAAATTACTTCACCATTAAATTTAATAACGTAAAAAAGAAATTTAACAGGGCATTAAAGCTAGGTTTTTCGTCAGGAAATGGACACTGGAGATAGGTTGTTGTTGAGTTGTGTTTTGTCAAGTGAACCGTGGAATACAGTTTAATTAGTTTATCTGTTTTTTTTAAACCAATTCTAAGATATAGGAAAACTGGATTTATTGCAGGCAGCTTTATCGTGCCGCCATCAATGAACGAATGTCGTGTTCTAGTATAGTAGGGTCGCAAATTGGGAAGTAAAGGACATTGGAAACTCTGCAAGGCAACGGAGAAAATATTGTGGTGCCAAAGTAGGACCTTCTGTTGGTCATAAGATTGACAAATTAGTCTTCTCGGCTATAATATGTACTTAGCTACAAGGAATTAAGTGGCTTCATAAGGTGGACTTAGTTGGTGCGATAAAATTCTGGTTGTTTAACCGTATTAGGTGAAAGTAGTTAATAAGCGGTCTTTTTTCACAGTTAGCAGCTTGAATACCATCTTATTTATGGTTATTTGACTGTCTTGTTTGAATACGGTAAAATAGCAAATGAATTGCTATTTAACCATTTTTCAGATAAATTGAAAAATACTTAAATTAAGTTGCTAACCAAAGTGTTAAAGTTTATGAGCATTTAATTTCCTTCGTAAAATTCTAACAAAATCCCGAGAGAAATCTGACTATTACCATAGTTATTTCAATTTTTCTCGCTCATTAAAATGTTTTAAACCTGTTCCACACATTGTAAGTTTTAAAGGTTTTCAACTAAACTCTTAGTTGATATAAACTATCACTGATTGCTTAGAAATTCTGTTACAGAAGAGAATCGTTCGTAATTTGTTAACAGAATCCACTAAGTTCTTAAATTATTGATAAAATCCTCAAAAGTGATTGACGTTAAAAGTTTTACGAGTGCTTCGTCGGATAGTAAACTAATGTTTAGAATTTTAAATGAGATCTGGGTAATATGGAGTGATTAATCATACTGAGTAACAATTTAAACTAATAATTATTTCTTTTTGGAAAAATGTCGTGTTGCTCCTGAAATTAATTGTGATAAAATTAAACTTTTTCTAAATAAATCTAAGAACTCTTTTACGGGATATTTTTCTCACATATACATTTTTTAAACAAACAATTAAATTTTTTAACGCAGTGAAATAATTATTAAGATTTTGGTATTAATTTAGTTTATGAAATAGAAAAAAAAAAGATATATTTGCTAATTTCGAGTTTTAATTAATTTATAAATCCTTTTTAATTATCAAATCATAACTAAATATGAATTTACTTTTGCAATAGTTCTGCTGAATTTCACGGGGAAAAAAGTATTGTCAAAACTACAAGAATATGGTAAAATTTGCCGTATTTCTGTTTCTTTGGGTACATAAAAAAGGTCAATAGTTTTTTTTTGAAGCGCTTCGGTGAGGATTTTGGTAAAATTAACAATATAATGTGGTTTTATAATAAGTGATAAAATTTAGTAAGTAATTGAAAAATTATTATTATGATATTAATTTTATCTTGATAACTTAGAGCATGACGTAAAACCATTTATTCGATTGAATTTACTTTTTAATTTTGTGCTTGTGGTGCCTTTGGAAGTAAGCAAAAACATTTTAAAACTGTTTTAAAGCCTTTTGCGAGGTTCCCCAAAAATCTTTTGATGTATCGAAAAAATATTTATTTTGTATTTTAAAGCATAAAACCAAAAGACTGCACTGTTAGAATTTTTAAGTTTAAATTACGGTAAAATAACCGGCAGTAGTCTGTTTATCCGACTAACTATGAAGTTGTGGTGACCTGCCTACTACAACTCAACGCTGCCAGTCTGGTATCCCATAGCAACGACGAACACGAAAGAGAAACTAATATTTTCTTTTTGCTTTTTGATAATTCTCCTGTTTTTCAATATGCACTTTATTATTATTATTTAAGGCTTTTTAATATATTATATTTTATAATAAGAAGTTCGTCTACTTATTTATCACAAAAAGTATACCTCCACAAACTGGTGACCTCGGATTTATTACGAATCGCAACCTGCAATGTTGTACGAATATGGAGTTCATATGCCAAAATTCCGAGCAACAATAAGTTGTCAAGCTTGATGAAATGAAAGTAAGACATTTTACCTGTGATTTAAAGTAGTTTGCCTCAGTCCAGTGAGTCAACATATTTCGGTTAGAATTTTATCGGATCTTATTTATTGAATAATTAATTTTATCTGGTGTGTTGAATCTGAATCGCCAATTTCTCTGATTTAAAGTACTAAAAAGCTGTGTCGCTATATACGTATATTGATTATTTTTCTGTGTTATTGTGCATATTTGACTGATCTAAAATGGTTGACAACAATGCTTCTTCACAATTGGCACGAGTTGCAGTTAAGCCTCCGCCATTTTGTCGCCAAGACCCATCGTTATGGTTCATTCAACTGGATGCGCAGTTTAAATTAAGCCACATTACTGCTGACGAAACTCAGTTTTATACAGCGATCGCCGCTTTAGAATCAGAAGTACTTAAATCAGTTCGTGAAATTATCTTGAGTCCACCGGCAACGGAAAAATACAAATCGTTGAAAGAAAAATTAATTTCTGTTTATGCAGAATCCGAGACAGTTAAAATCAAGCAACTTTTGCAAGATTTTCAGTTAGGTGATATGAGGCCTTCTCAATTGTTGTCTAAAATGTCAGACTTATCAGCTGGTAACCTAACGAGCAATATTCTTAAAACATTATGGATGAATAGACTCCCATCAAATATGCAAGCCATTTTAGCGGCCAGTAGTGAGCCTCTTACGAAGCTGTCCGAAATCGCTGATAAAATACACGAGGTGGTCATGCCAACGCAAATACATGCAGTTCAGACTCCTGATCAAGGTATTGTGGCATTACAGGCTCAAATTAATGAATTATCTAAACAGGTCTCTCAATTAGTAGCCATTCAAGCTGAACCCTTTCAGCGTCACCGCTCTACTACACGTGGTCGATATGCACGACGTAGCACTTCGAGGAAACGTTATGAAAGCCCTCCTCCGGGTATTTGTTTTTATCACCACAATTTTGGAGACAAGGCAAACAAATGTCGCCAACCGTGCCGTTATAACAACCAGGGAAACGAGACGGGCCGTCGCTAAAAGTCGTGAACGACAGCGGCCGGAACATTGCACGCCTTTTCGTCATCGATAAGAATTCCGGTTTAAAGTTTCTTGTAGACACCGGTGCTGATGTTTCTGTCGTGCCACCACATTTTCATGAACAAAAGCGCCTCACCAAATTACAACTTTATGCAGCAAATGGAACTCCCATACAGACTTTTGGTGAACGCCTGATATCTATTGACTTAGGATTGCGCCGCAAATTCCAATGGCCATTCATTGTTGCCTCCGTTTCAAGTCCTATTATTGGTGCTGACTTTTTGTAAAAATTTTCTTTACTTGTCGATCTTAAAAATCACCGTTTAGTAGATTCTTCAACGAACTTAACTTACCCGGGAGAAATTCGCAATAGTCGAGATATAAACATTAAACTGATTTCGGATACTTCTACATGGCATCAACTTCTCAGAGAATTTCCTACAATCACGCGCCCAGTTATGGGTAATTTACAACCCAAGCACGATGTACTACATTATATTGAAACTACCGGACCTCCAATTTGTTCTAAACCAAGACGTTTACCTCCAGACAAGCTTAAAGCCGCCAAAGATGAATTTCAATACATGATGGAACAGGGAATTTGCCGCCCATCGAAAAGTTCATGGGCCAGTCCGCTCCATCTAGTTCGGAAACGAAATGGTAACTGGCGCCCGTGCGGGGATTATCGCCGGTTAAATGCAGCTACAATTCCTGATCGTTACCCAGTCCCGCACATTCAAGACTGTATGCAAGTCTTAGAAGGAAAAACTATTTTTACAACTGTTGATCTTGAGCGGGCGTACCACCAAGTACCCGTTAATCCAGCTGATGTTCCTAAGACTGCGGTTATAACGCCTTTCGGACTATTTGAGTTTCCAGTCATGACTTTCGGCTTATGCAATGCCGCTCAAACGTTCCAACGCTTCATGAATCAGGTGTTAATCGGCCTGGACTTTTGTGTACCTTATTTTGATGACGTCTTAATCGCTTCCTCTTCAGAACAAGAACACTTATCTCATTTAAGAACTATTTTTGAACGGTTTCAGAGTTACGGAGTCAGCCTCAATCCTTCCAAATGCGTTTTTGGCCAACAAAAAGTATCCTTTCTTGGTCATGAAATTTCCGCTGATGGCGTTCGACCCCTTTCAGATAGAGTCACCGCTATCCGCGATATGCCCGAACCATCTACAGTAAAGGACTTAAGAAGATTTCTTGCCATGCTCAATTTTTACCGACGTTTCCTACCTCATGCCGCGACCATACAAGCACCTCTAAATTCTTTTTTGGTTGGAAGCAAGAAAAATGACAAACGTGTTATAACCTGGACCACAGAATCACGCGATGCTTTCCAAAAATGTAAAAATGATTTAATTTCGGCAACTAATTTGCAATATCCTTCAGCATCTAAACCATTATCACTCTACGTTGACGCATCGACAACAGGTATAGGAGCAGTTTTACAACAGAAAGATCAAAAATCATGGAGACCACTTTCATATTTTTCTAAAAAACTCTCACCAGCCCAAACCAGATACAGCACTTACGATCGCGAATTATTAGGAATTTATGAAGCGGTAAAGCATTTTAGACATATGTTGGAAGGACGCGTTTTTATGATTTTCACTGATCACAAACCATTAACCTATGCTTTTCAACAGCGTTCAGATAAAGCCTCCCCTCGTCAAATGAGACACCTGGACTTCATAAGCCAATTTTCAACCGATATCCGTTATGTGGAGGGTTCACAAAATATCGTAGCAGACACCTTGTCTCGTATCGAAGAATTAGCCATTCCTTCGCCAATTGACTTTGCTGCCCTTGCGGATGAACAATATCAGGACACAGAACTACAGACCCTCTTGAAAAACAAAACTACCAACAATCTCAACTTGCAGCCTATGCAGCTAACACCTGGAAAATCACTTTATTGTGATGTTCAGGATTCGAGAATTCGACCATATGTTCCCCCTGGGTTTCGACATGCCATTTTCAGTCAATTACATCGTCTTTCACATCCTGGCATCAAGGCTTCAAGGAAACTTATACAACAACGTTTTGTGTGGCCTAGTATGCAAAAAGACATAGCGAGCTGGACACGTTCATGCTTGGAGTGCCAAAAATCTAAAATTGTCAGACACACCACCAGCCCACTTAAAACTTTTAATTTGCCATCATCTCGGTTCAATCACGTGCATCTCGACTTGGTCGGACCATTGCCGCCTTCTAATGGATATTCATATCTCCTTACTTGCATTGACCGATTTACTCGCTGGCCCGAAGCCGTTCCTTTAGTGGATATTTCAGCTAGTACTGTGGCAAATGCGTTTTACTCAGTTTGGATTTCTCGATTTGGAGTTCCGGAACAGATTTCTACTGACCAAGGGCGTCAGTTCGAATCCCAACTCTTCACATCGCTAGCTAAGTATTTGGGAACTTACAAAGTCAGAACCAGTCCTTACCATCCAAGTTCCAATGGGATTGTCGAGAGATTTCATCGCTCTTTAAAACAATCAATTCGATGCCACACTGCAATACAGTGGACTGAGGTGTTACCTACCGTACTTCTAGGTCTTCGATCAGCGTTGAAAGAGGATCTGAATGCCTCTTCTGCCGAACTAGTATATGGTACTGCTCTCCGTTTGCCAGGAGATTTCGTACATTCAGTCAATCCACCTAACAGCAATGACCCTTTTACATTCGTGCATCAACTTAGAAACTGCATGTCAAAATTACGACCAGTTCCTACCAGCGCTCATTGCAAACAAACTGTCTTCGTACACAAAGAACTTAGAAACTCATCTCATGTTTTTCTCAGATGTGATGCTCCAAAGCCTTCTCTTGCACCAAAATTTTCAGGACCACATCAAGTACTAGCTCGAAACGAAAAAACATTCAAAATTTTAGTAAACGAAAAAGAAGTTAACGTTAATATCGACCGACTTAAACCAGCATTCATCTGGAAACCTGAAGCCACTGTAACACATGCGTCATCAGCACCATCTAAAACCACGACGCCCGACTTAGCAAATGCTACGACAACAACACGCTCGGGACGTCGAGTGCGCTTCAATCCGAAATATTTGTAAGAAAAGAATCGTTAGCACTGGAGGGGGAGTACTGTGGTGACCTGCCTACTACAACTCAACGCTGCCAGTCTCGTATCCCATAGCAACGAGGAACACAAATAAAAGAATACTAATGTTTTCTTTCTGCTGCTGCTGCTTGATAATTCTCCTGTTTTTAATATGTACGTTATTGTTATTATTCAAAGTTGTTAATATATTATATTTTATAATAAGAAGTTCGTCTACTTATTTATCACAAAAAGTATACCTCCACAAAGTTTATGGTTAGGAACATTCTTTTACCTTTATTAGGGTTTTGAAACCATTTATAACTGGTACAATTAAAAACTATGACTACAAATCTGTACGGTTTTGTAACCATTTGCAACTAGCATAGTTTATAAACCGTTAAAATAGAACTTCAACGGACATTGGAGCTCTGTGGGTGCTGCGCCATTTATACGTTAATGATAGTTTCGTATCCAATAGTGCATCGTATTCGTGTTCATGGCTCTATTGGAACACAAAAAAGCATGGTAAATCTTACTGAACGGTTAACCTTAAATTACTGTAAAATAACCGGCAGTGGTCTGTTCATCTGACTAACCATAAAGTTTATGGTTAGGAACATTATTTTACCTTTATTACGGTTTTGAAGTCATTTATAACTGGTACAATTAAAAACTATGACTACAAAACTGTACGGTTTTGTAACCCTTTACAACTAGCATAGTTTATAAACCGTTAAAACAAAACTTAACGGACATGGGAGCTCTGTGGGTGCTGCGCTATTTATACGTTAATGATAGTTTCGTATCCAATAGTGCATAATATTCGTGTTTATGACTTTATTGAAACACAAAAAAGCATGGTAAATCTTACTGAAAGAAAATCACAAATTTTCATCTTCTGAAAAAAAAAATTACTTTTAAAGAGAGTCATTGATTTTGTGAACGTTAATAAAATGCTATAAAAACAATTCAGCTTTCACAGCATTTGAACAGTTTTTCTTACTTAAAATCGGTAAGATGCTTGAAAAAGTTAACATACTGAATGCGAAAAGAAAACTTCAAAAATAATTTATTTCGCATATCTGTTGCAACTTAACGGTAACAATATAGTTATTTCAAACTATATGCATGGAAATATGTGCTTCATCTTGGAAAAAAAGTAAAAATGTATGTATGTTAAATCTACAAAAACTCTTTCCCTGATAAAATATCTTATATATGCGTTTTAAAGCTGTTTTTATATTGAAATTTTCTGGAGAAAATTTTTGTTATTAAAAATAAAAAGCTCTTTTCTCAAATATCTCTCTAGGATATCCAACATTAACTTCTTTGCATTTTTATGTTTCTACTTGGAAAATATTTGCTCGCAATTTTTTGAAACATAATATTTTTGTTTTTTTGGTTTATTGTTTGGCTACGCAAAAGTTTTGAAAATGAAATTTGATTTCAAATGTCCTCGTTTCAATGTTTTTTCTTTTTTTTTTTAGCAAATATAGTTTTATTTTCGATGCGAAAATGAAACATTCCTTTTGGATAATATGGCATTTAAAAAATAAAAAACTACACGTCCGGTAGATTAAACATTTGTAAACGTTTAAGAAAAGATAAGAAGTACAACAATATTATTTTTATTTTTGCATTTTTTTTAAATTTATGAGAAATAGTTAGCAAAGCCATAATTTTTTAAAAGTTTTTCTTAGAAGGTTTTAAGAATTCTTCAACAAAGTGTAAATTAAACATCACGCTGGCGAAGTTAAAGTCATTACATTGGGGGGTAAAAACAGATACAAAATGGTTGCCATTTATACAAAATATTTATTTTAGTTAAAAATATTCTAAAAGTTTTATTTTCGAGAGATTAATTTGCTTCTGTTGACTCGTTAGATATTAAAAAAGTTCAAAGAAAAAAAAATACATTTCCTTA